GCCAGGCTCCACCCCTCCTAGACCTATTTAAGAGCTGGCTACCAGAGGGGAAGGATCTCTTCTGTAGATCACCCCTCTTGGTGTCTTCTGGTGAGCTCAGCCGAAGGGTAAGCTCTTCCACTAATTCTCTTTTGTGATCGTTGTTTACTTTGCCTAATTCTCTTGATTATATTGTAATTATAACATCTTGATATCTATTGATTATACAATTATATTGTAATTATAACATCTTGATTATACACCTGGAAGCACCAAATGACTGCCACCTCCCCAATTAGAAATGGAGGCTCCAGATGAGAACCCCTCATCAGTTAGCGACTCCTCTGTGTGCTGCCCCTTCCCTGCACTGTGTCCCCTCCCTGACCATGCAGCAGAAAGGCTGTAGGAGGAGTGTGAGTGGACAGATGCATTGTTCTGTTCTCATGGATGCGACCAGAAAATGGTGTTTCTGTGTGGCCCCAGCATCGGGCAGGAGTAACGTGAAGCAAGTGGACTGGGAACAATATGGACATATATGGCTTGTCTCCCACCAGTGAGTTTGTTGAATGAAATTCAGTTAGCAAGTAGGGAAGACTGCTTGCTAAAACACTATTAGCCAGATTCCAACAGACTCCCAAGGGCCAGTGAGTCATCCATCCCCACCTGGCAGTATATGCCTGCTCTCCATCATGGTTACCCAGCTGTCATGGGCAGGGTTAGCTGTGGAGATCAGTTTTTGGCGAAGAATGTCACTAACCTGCTATGTCACTAACCTCCTTCTATGATCTAGTGACCCATCTGGTGGATGAAGGAAAGGCTGTTGATGTGGTCTACCTAGACTTCAGCAAAGCCTTTGACACTGTCTCCCACAGCATTCTCCTGCAGAAGCTGGCAGCCAGAGGCTTGGATGGGTACACTCTTGGCTGGGTAAGGAGCTGGCTGGAGGGCCGGGCACAGAGAGTGGTGGTGAATGGAGTCAAATCCAGCTGGCGACCAGTCGTGAGTGGTGTTCCCCAGGGGTCGGTGCTGGGGCCTGTCCTCTTCAATATCTTTATTGGTGACCTGGATGAGGGCATCGAGTGCACCCTCAGTAAATTCGCAGATGACACCAAATTGGCTGGAAGTGTGGATCTGCCTGGGGGTAGCGAGGCCCTACAGAGGGATCTGGACAGGCTGGAGAGCTGGGCTGGAGCCAATGGGATGAGTTTCAACAAGGCCAAATGCCGGGTCCTGCACTTGGGCCACAACAACCCCAGGCGATGCTACAGGCTTGGGGCAGTGTGGCTGGAGGACTGCGTAGAGGAAATGGACCTGGGGGTATTGATTGATGCTCGGCTGAACATGAGCCGACAGTGTGCCCAGGTGGCCAAGAAGGCCAATGGCATCCTGGCTTGCATCAGAAACAGTGTTGCAAGCAGGAGCAGAGAGGTGATTGTTCCCCTATATTCAGCACTCGTGAGGCCGCACCTCGAGTACTGTGTCCAGTTTTGGGCCCCTCACTGCAAGAAAGATATTGAGGCCCTGGAACGTGTTCAAAGAAGGGCAACAAAGCTGGTGAGGGGTCTGGAACACAGGCCATATGAGGAGAGGCTGAAGGAGCTGGGAATGTTCAGCCTGGAGAAGAGGAGGCTCAGGGGAGACCTTATTGCTCTCTATAACTTCCTGAAGGGAGGTTGTAGTGAGCTGGGGGTCGGCCTCTTCTCTCGTGTCATTAGTGATAGGACCAGGGGGAATGGTTTCAAGCTACGGCAGGGGAGATTCAGGCTGGACATGAGGAAGTATTACTTTTCAGAAAGGGTGGTCAGGCACTGGAATGGACAGCCCAGGGAGGTGGTGGAATCACCGACCCTGGGGGTGTTCAAGGAAAGACTGGATGTTGTGTTGAGGGACATGGTTTAGTAGGAGCTATTGGGAATAGGTGAACGGTTGGACTGGGTGATCTTTTAGGTCTTTTCCAACCTTAGTGATTCTATGATTCTATGATTCTAACTGGCAGGGCTTTGGGACCTCAATTCCAGCTTTCCCTTAGGGGTGCAACAGTGGAGCAGGCAGGATTAGATTTTATTGCCGTATGTCCACAGTTTGAAAGGGGGGAGGGAGGTTAGGATAGTATAAATTGGTTAACTAATGAGGCTGAGCCAGGAAGTGAACCCTGCAAGCACAACCAAAGTTTATATCTTTTGATAGCTCAGGAAGTAGAAGTAAATAAACTGGGCAGTATGTCCCTTATGGGAATTGATTAAGAGCACAGCTATGACATGGGTTTCAGTCACACCTCAAAGGATGAGGAGGGGAACAGGAGTGGGGGAGAATAAACCCATCTGTCATCTTGCTGTCTGATGTGGTACCTAGCAAACACATAGGGAAAGTGTTGGTGAAAAGAGCCAAGGAAGTGCATCTCATCCAACATGGCGAGCTCTCGAACCAAGCAACTAGTCTGAAAGGGCTTTTTCCACCATGTGTTGTGAAGGTGGCTTTATTTAGATTTGGTCTTTTCTTGTGCTCCTAGCTGCTTAGTTGGATTTCCTTTAGTTCGTATCAAGCAAAGAAGACAAAGGGCTGCATGTGAGATGCGGGAGTGCAGGAAAACATACTGCATTTTTTTCTATACCTTTTCTCACCATGCTTTTCACACAGACTGCAGCAACCCTTCAGACTGCCTATCTGCAAGAGGAGCTGTGGATTTTTTTTCTATTAAATAGAGTAGTGCTTTGTTTTCTGTCTCTGCAATTAGCAACAAAGTCACTGGGATGGGGGCAAGAGGTGTTGTGTAACAAATATGAACAGAAGAGTGGACAAAGGCATAAATCTGGGTACACATCAGAACAATGATACACTCCAAGTTAACAGAATTTGCTTTGAAATATAGGGTATTTGGTGCCAATCATGCCAAAATGGCATCAGGGAGAAATTTCTGGCTTGCGGTGGTGCTGAGTTCTGAGGCAGATTGCTAGGAGAACGGGGACTGGATGTGGCCAGGCTTGAGCTGTTAAAGGTGGCCCTTATATGAGAGAATGGTAATGGTGGAATCTTGTGTCTGTTTGGGACATTTTGATCATAACCCACAACCTAGGTAGAGACTCTCTATTAGAGTGACTTGGATGCTGGTGGCTCTTCAGTTGGAAGAGCTTTTGTCCTGCCCCATAAATGTGAATAAAATCCCAGTGATTAAACCCCCATCCTCCTGGCTTCTCATATGTCAGATCTTATCTATGTGAAGATTTCACCCTAGAAGGGCGAACAGTGTGTTGTGCCTTGACTTCCATGTGATGAGGTCTGGAAAAGGCCTTTCCCACAGAGACCCTTCCCTGCTGGTCCTGGCCTCCTTTCTTGATTAGCCCACTGTGTCCCACTGATTTTGGCCATGAAGCTTGACCACACCATGTCAGGCTGACTCATTTAAGGTGAGAATAAACCGGTTGAATCATAAACACCTTTACTGTAAACAAGATAACATCTTTAATGTGCTACTTTGAGAGCTCAGACAATGAAACCCTTTTTCCCTTCCCTCATACTTTCCTAATTGCTGGTATTAAGAGGAGGGGAAAAAAAATGCCCAACCTCCACCATCTTATACAGAAGAAAGTCTCAGTCATCCCTTTGGCTTCTGTGTAGGAGAAAGTTAACACAACAGTTTTGCTAGTCTTAAGAGCAAGTCTGCACTTGCACAAACTTGCATTCCTTGAACTTTGCTCTCTTCAGGCAGAATATTGACCAAAGAAGTCCCATGAAAACCAGCACAGGTGAGAATTCCTGGCATTTAAGATGGGGCAAAGATTTTTAAGATCATAGTTTGCAAGCTCTGTATGCGTCTATCTGGCTTTGTAGTCCAGGAAAAGAGGGTGGAAAACTAGCAAAAATACCACACAGTTATAGATGTGGATGTGCTTCTGAGGTGCGCAGTCTGGAATGGAAGAACACAGCTCTGTTTAACAAATGTTCATTAACTCAAAAATCATCTCTCTGCATCTGATGACAAAAGTGCTGTGTTTCACACCAGCCTGCTATGATCACTAGAGGTGAGTGAATTGCTGTGCTCTCTGGTATGTAGAATGAAGTATTAGCTGCACTTAAATATGTGCAAGTGTCACGAGTGTATGTTAAGTACACTTGTAAGCTTAGAAAGTTCTGTGCAGGTAACAGTCCAGATGAATGAGTGAATTTCTGTTATGGTTGTGTTGTTGGTGGCTGGCAGCATGAAACCATAAGTGTAGTAATATAATTCTGTGCTATATGATAATTTTCATGCTGCTTTACATGAAATTAATCTACAGTGAACTGTTCCTTTGTGTTTGATGAAGTGTTTAACAATACCTGCACTATCCCGTGGGAGGAGTCCTGTGCAGTCTCAGTATAATCTCCTGCCTTTTGCTGATCTGTGCTGTCTTCTTCCTAGTCTTTGTAATGGGTAAATTTATTTCCTAATCTCTGACTGTTTAAGCCTTGCATGCAGAATAGGCATCTAATTTTCCTTTAATTTTGTAAGGCATTTATTTTGAACGAGTTACGTAAGCAATTCAGTTTCCTGAGCTGCCTTTTCCCATCTTCATGCTTTACAGATCTCTGCACACTGCATGCTTTTTAGCCATGTTTAAAGCCCTTTGGCGGGGTTTTCCCAATAGTCATGTAGACTGCAAGACACAAGAGCAGCATGAGGAACTGGCAGTGTGAAAATAGGCTCACTGGCACAATAAGCAACAAATCTGGTGTTTGCAGCAGTATTTCTGAGAATGGTTTGCAGTTCTTCGATGCTGTACAACTGCTATCTGCCTGATTTTACTTGAAATATTTAGGATTAGCATCAAATTTATCCAGTTTTTGAAAATATCTTGATTGCTGAACAGGAAAGGACACTGGAAGTGTCTGTTGCTGGAACAGAATGCCAAGCAGCAGACCTGAGCACCTGCCCTCTTGAATGCAGGAGCCAGCAGTCAATAGCTTCACAAAGAGCTGCTGAAGCTGCTGCTCCTCCATAGATTTACAGATTAAAAGACTTTCTGCTATGATTACTCCAGTGTCACCTAGTGAACAGCAACATTTGCAGGCAGTGAGTGTGGGGAGTCCTCTGGAAGCAGAGTCTGCTGAGTGGATTCTGAAGCCAGTTTTAGGCATATGCTGGCATCTGTCATGCTGTTGTTGTTGTTGGCAGGGCTGCTGTTGTGACGTGCCACTTTTGAAGGGCGGATGGCTACTAAGAACTGGCGCTTGAAGGTCTCGCTGAGGGCAATGTAGAGAAAGGGGCTGAGGCAGCTGTTGGCATAGCCCAAGCTAATGGCAAAATTGTAGGCATAAAAGAAGGCCATGGATGGTGTATCAATACCAAGTTGAACCAGCTGGAGAATGTAGAAAGGAGCCCAGCAAATGAAAAAGGCAGAGCAGATGGCAACTGCCATGCGGGTGACTTTCTTGGTACGAATCTGGAGACTCCTTTGGGGCAGTGGGACCACAGTGGTGGTTATGTGCTGCAGGATCTTGAAGTAGACTACACAGATAACAATCAGTGGCATGGCAAATGCCAGCATGAACTGGTAGAGAGTGAACCAGTAGATGTCAGTCTCTGGGTTGGGAAGCAAGAGAGCACAGCGAACAGTCCCATCTGCCAGAGGCATAAGGCCTGCATACATCCACACAGGAATGACAGTCAGGAAGGAGAGGAGCCACGCTAAGCAGATAACTAGAGCTGCGACACATGGGGTCCGGACATAGGTGGATTTTAGAGGATAGACAGTTGCCAAGTAACGGTCCAGGGTCATCACTGTAAGAATGTTGGTGCTGGTGAACTGACTGTTGTTGTCCAGGGTGGTGATGATGGTGCACAGGGTTGCTCCAAAGTACCATGAGCCATTGCCTAGGAGCTGGTGGATGAGGAAAGGCATGCCCAAGAGGAAGAGGAGATCCACGATGGAGAGGTTGAAGATGAAAATGTCAGGCACGGTCTGGTTACGCTTCAGCTTCTTCTTCTTGACAATAGTGTAAATGACAGTGAGGTTCCCCACAATGCCCAGGAAGCAGATGATGCTGAAGAGACTGGACATGATCACATTGGTGTATGGTGCTGGCTTCTCTGCTACTGCCAAAACAAACCAAAATCCTAAGTGCAATCCAGAAACAGTCTCTTGGTATTTGTTCTTGCCCTATCTTGCAACTGGATCCCTCCCAAAGATGTGGTTTGGAGCACCCTCTGCTGCACATGGAGGGGCTTAGCTGTGAATGTAACACCTCCTCCTCTGCTGTGCAGTGTATGTAACACCCCCACACCCCACCCCAAATATTTTTGACTGTGAAAGTGTCCTTCATCTCTCCAGAAATACTTCTGTCATTTTCTGGAACTCTCTAGCTTTTGTTGGGGATAACAACAGGCTGGTATTCTTCTGCTCTTGCAATTGTCTGACAGGGAATTGATAGTGGAAATATTGGGTGTCCAGCCTTTTACTGGCTGTGATACTTTGAAGTGGGAGGCCTGAACATAATCAAATTCATGTTCTCCTTGTCACTAACTAGAGTTTTAAATCACGTTTTGAAGCCACATGCCTGTAGTGCCAAACAACAGAAATTTCTGCTCTTGGGCACGTTAAATTCTAAGGCATTCTGCAAGTTTCGTGTGCGCTGTGGTAGACTCTCAAATCAGCCTTCTCAGCTCATTTCATCTCGTTACTCCTTTCCTATGGGACCTTTATTTATGTGTGTATTTTGGCTGTCACAGAGATATGCCTAACAGCCCCTAAGCCTAGACTGTGTGTGTCTTTCATTGAGTTGTGGATTATTCAGAACGATACTGATTGGAAATGCTTTTCACCTTCTTTTCACCTTCTTTACTACTGGTTTTCTCAGCCTACTCCTGTAGAATAAGGGATGTTGTCGTCTCCTGCATAACTGAGAAATACTGTAAATGAGATTAAGTGACAGATAATCACAAAACATTCCCAGCCAAAGTGGTGTCTGTTTGCCAGATGGTATATGCTGACTAACATCTGGAATTCGTGAGTACCAATGTCTGCAGTCTTGCTTTAGTGTCACTGAGAACATTCACTGAACTGGCAAGATAACTGAAGCTGTGTTGCTGGCCTGGCAATGGCTGGAGAGTTGTGTGTCACCAATATGTACTACCTCTGTCCACCCAGGAGTATGGTGTGCGTTACTGTTTTCTTTTGCTGGTAGTAGGATGCAGTCAGCTTAGGCATAAGCAAAGGCCAGAATCCAGTAAAGTGGGGGTTGTGTCACTTTATCTGGAAGCTTTTTTATGAGATGATAAAACAGGTAGCAAGGGATAAAGCAGAACTGCCAGGGGCCTGAAGTACAGGTGCAGAAGAGAACCTGATCTGGTTGATAAGGCAATAAACCTCCTCAAGGCCATATAGGAGCTTTAATGGTCCCAGTTCTTCCTGGATCCTCTTCGATGCAAGGAAATGCTCAATTTAAGCGGCTGTAAATAAAGTAGTGTTATCAGCATCCCACTTGAGACCTGGTACTAGTCTCCAGCATTCAGTTTGTGTATTTCCTGAACTTTCGAACAGATTTCACATCTCCTTAATGCTGGAAGATGGAAGATTAGAGACTGGAAAATGACTGTGGTCCTGCTGTTCTGTGTCTAGCTGTTATGAGCTGTGCTCTCCTTTCTTTTAGCCTGAAACTTTGTTACTAGTGCAGTGGAAATGGATTATATGGTTGAAGTGTAAAAGCTGCATGTTTAGCTGAAAACTGGAACAAAACATCCTTTTTCTGCAGTGTTATCAATAGAGTGCTCATGGTTACCCTTGTAATATTTTGAATGAACTCAGCTGGCCTTTGAGTGAAGTATGCACGAGCCCAAAGGCTTTGTGTGAGGTGTGGTTTGTATAGTGCTGTAGCATTTTGCCTGATGTACTTCCTGCTTATACTAATAGCAACAAGTGGTATTAGCTGGAAGCTGGAGTTCATGTGTGTTTTGTGGAATGGAGTTAGAAGTGTGTGACTACCAAATTATCAAAAATTACCCCTTATCTCCAGAACATAGAGGTTTTAGAAATGGTTGAATCTGATTTTTTCAATGATGATTTTGTGCAAACCCAAGTGGCTGTACTTGTATACAAAAAGAGTTACTTCTAGGCATTGATTTATCTTTGCCCGCAGATCTGTGGCTGCCCTGTTATTCCTGAAAAGTCACAGTGTAGTCCTCTCTGGAAACTCAGTGAGAACCAGCCTGGACTGTATTCTTCAATCATGCCCACATGTGCAGCAATCTAATCTTTATTGCATCTCAGAAGATAGCATCTAAAATGTGCTTTTATGCAATATAGAAGATGTTGAGCATGAAAAATCGTTTGTTAAACACTTCTGTTGTACCCTTGAGGGTATTGCCTTATTGTCCCTACACAATTTGTCTGACAACACTGATAACATGCGGTAGACTGGGGGGCCTCTCTCCTTCCTGCCCCAGTGGGATTTTACATTCTTTGTCTTGTTCTCCTCCCCCATTTCTCCATCCTCAGTACTAGCGCCCCAGTGGCTGCTCCTCGTAGCCCGCCTCCCCCTGGGCCCCGCTGTCGGCGGTGCTCGGACGCCGCGTCTCCCGGCAGCGCCCCGTGGTGGGGCCCGGAGCTGTCCGCTCGCAGGTGCTGAAGGCACAGCAAATAGACCACGGGGAGCGTTGGGGCTGTGCCCTTGCTCCTGGCCCCTGCCCTTTGGGCACCCGGCTGGTCAGTACCCAGCAGAACACCCCGCAGCCCAGCTCACCTGAGCCGTTCCGAGCCTCCAACGTGGAGAAATTGTGCAAAGAGTTGATGGGGGCCATGGCAATTAGCCCTGGAGGCTGAGGTTCTTCTCAAAGTTGGCCAAGTTGCCTCCAGAGATCCGTGGCGGTGATGGGGTGGGTCCCACAGCCGGGGTTGAGCAGGGTGTGGGAGGCAGCAGCGAAGTCTGAGGCTTGGCTGTGCTCTGCTTGCTGGCTTCAGCGCTGCCGAGCTCGAAACGAGTGCTGACATCAAGGAGCAGCTGACTGGCAGCCACTTCAGCTGAAAGCATCCCTCTGTCGCTATCGGGTAGGAGGGGATGCTGGGAGAGAGGGAGCGGAGAGGCACTGCCTCCGTGGAGTTGCAGCCAGTGCCCCTTTGTGTCATTTACCCCAGATCCCCTGATGGACAGCTGGGATTTGCACCTTTCAAATTATAGCCAACTTTCTCTCACTATTATCAGTAGGACATAAGAGCTATGTTTTTCCTTTTATGTATCTCCACTCTCTTGCCTTTGCTATGGATTTTTCTCTTGACTCACATGCTCTTTTCATTCCTGAGTCACAATCCTGTCCCCACTAGTGGGGCTGGGGGATATCAAGGTGCCAAATCACCCACTGGAAGGCGTTGCTTTAGTCATCTGACTAAATTCCAGCCTGAGATACTTCACCTGTAATTAATTCTCTGCTGTATTTTTTGTCATAGCTCATTTGCATCCTAGTTTAGAAATTAGCTAAACAATTATTTAAGCTCTTGTTATCCATGCTGGATTTCTAGTTAATTAGCACAAAGTGGACTTTTATCCAAAGCTTGATGACCACTTCTCCCTGCAGGCTAGACCTCCTCCTGCTGTAAGATCTGAGCTGTCTGGTCAGTCATAGCTAATTCCAGTCCCATACTGCTAACTTGAGGTTTTAGTCTTCAGCTTCTACCTATTCTGGCTACTGAGAGTGAGCCAAAGTCCAAGACAGCAGCTTTACGTGGTTTTATTTTCACTGCTGAATGTTAGAGGATTCCAGAGATGGAAGCACAGCCAAAAGCAAGGAAGGACCAAGCAGAACTTGCTCTGTGATGAGGAAGCAGAGTGGCTTGCAGGCTGTCCATGACCAGTATGTGGAACTCAGGGCAGCAGGTGTGCTCTCAGCAAACAGGCAGATCCTGCTGCAGAAGTTAAAAGGTTGCAGGCAGTACTCAGTGTCAGACAGAAACAGTCAGGAGCTCTAAGGGAGGCAAATCCAACTGCAAGGTGTGGTGTTAATTGTGTTGCTGCTTTTCTTATGAAAACAGGCATTAGCATGAGGAAGGGACAACTGTAATTTGAACTCCTGAGCCCGAATAGGGGAAAAAAAAAAACCTCAAAAAGTTGAGCTCACATCTGTAGCTTGTGGATAAGTGTGCTCAAGAGGAGAGAGAGGCTGTTCTGCATGAAATGATGGGTGGACTAACCAAGACTAGATGCCTGCCCAACACCCAAATTATTGCTCTGCTACCCTTTTCAATGAGGACAATGATGGTGTTGAACTTGAAAGTGGATATTGCAGATCTGAGATTTAATAAAATTGGAAAGTCCAAGAGGTTTAAGTCAGAGAGATGAGAGAAACTTCACTGGAAAGAGCTGTTGCACGAAACCGTAAATCCAAGCACAAGGATTTATGATAAAGCTGTTAAAACAGAGGTGATGTTTTATAACCAGTTATTGCAATCCTGCTATCTGATTCTGAGCAGGGAAAGGCAAGAAGAAAACTGTAATAGCTGAGATTCTGAGCTCCAGTACGCTGAGTCCACTAAAACATTTCATGTACAGTGTCTCCCAGGAAATCCTTGAAAGTTGGAGAAGACATGGAGAGGCACAACATTTATGATTCATCCCTTATTTTACAACTGATGCTGGAGACTTGTGATGGGAGAGAGGCTGTGAGTATTGATAGCACTGGATGGAATACCTTCCTGGTGTGGACCTGCAAGCTAGAAAAAGGGCTTGGCTCAGTTGGCAACCAGAGCTCTGTAGCAGCCAGATGTTTCTTTTCTGTTCACTTGGTAGATCAGCCATACATGCTCTTTGCTGAGCACAGAGATCATAGAATCATAGAATGGCCTGGGTTGAAAAGGACCACAATGATCATCCAGTTTCAAACCCCTGCTACTTGCAGGGTCGCAAGCCACCAGACCAGGCTGCCCAGAGCCACATCCAGCCTGGCCTTGAATGCCTCCAGGTATGGGGCATCCGCAATCTCCCTGGGCAACCTGTTCCAGCGTGTCACCACTCTGATGTCTGAAGTGTTGCAAGCAGTAGAAGAGATGGAAACCTTTTAAAAAGATAATGATAAACTAAAAGGATGACTGCTTATGAATACAATAATTGTAAGCCACTTAGTGTTAACAACCATGGGACTACGAGCAGAGGCACACATTCAGCAGCAGCACAAGTAAGCACTTGTTTATCAGCTGGGAGTTTATTAGGTGTGAAGATAGGAGTAGGACGTGCATGGGTTTGTTATGAACTACCTGTTTGACATGGCTTTACAAAAGGCAAATTGGATTCTCAGAGAGGCCAGGTGAGATGTTTCTGTTGTAGAAGTTACTGCTATCGCATAATATGAAGTGAGACCTCCTTTGGAAACCATTATGGATTTTTGGTCTTTTGTGTGCAGGTCTTCATAGAAAGTTTAGCTGCAGAAAGGAATAAAGTTGAGACACAGGGAGCAAGAGTGGGCAGGTCAGTTACCACGTCCCATTGTGTGGAACAGGATGCTTTCTGAGGTGGTTCTGCCTTTCAAACCTGATGGAGATTTCAACAGAAGGGTTAAACAAACCAGAAATAGACCATTTTGCTGGTTGACTTGAAATATTTGGGGAGAGAGTTCATCTGGATAAAAATCAACCCAAAATACTATTTCTGATTGACTCAGTTCCTGAAGGGTTTTGTGATGGTAGAGAGGACGTAGATGCATCAATGCGATGCTTTCTAAATGTCTCAGTTTGCCACCAGTTCTTTTTTGCTTCTCTACCCTTGATTTTCCTGGTGCGTGAGTGGGACGATTCCTCTGGAAGACACTGGAGATATTGCTGCTGTCTCCTCTGAGTTAAGCCTCCATGCTAAGGCCTATTCCCATATCTTGAGCCATTGCAATTTGGGGCACTTGAATCCTCTCCCTGCTGGCAGTGTGTACAGTAGCCTTGCTTATGTCTGCTTTTTTATTCTCTGCCTTATTTGGCAGACTGAGGTGACAGAGCCTTTGTAAAGTGATTTGAGATGTTTTGTGTAAGAATGCATGCATGTGAATCTCTGTTGCTGACATTGCAGCTAGAGATTTTAGCGGACTCAAGAAATCAGAGCTATCTCTAGATGCAGGTTCCTTTCCTGAATGTAGTTATTTTAAAATGTAGTTATTTAAAGCTTCCTCCTGAAATGAATATACTTAACTGCACTAGAGGGATAACAAAGTGAAAGCAGTGTCCTTAATCCTGCCCTTTCATCTCCTGGAAATTCCCTCCTTTGTCTCTTTCTCTGTGTCCTGATTATTAAAAGAAATGAGAAATAATTTCCACTTGGAAAAAAACCAGGGCAACAAAACTGCAGCCCAGCTGATCACAGCAGAAGCCGTGGAGGCAGGAGCTGGAAGGAGTTGTTAATGAAATGTCAGCAGCAAGCCAAGAGCAAGGGCTGGAACCTGTCCAGATGGCACTGCTAATGGACTGCAACTACTTCAAGAGCATCTTCCCAGGAAGAGGCTGTCCGAGCAGGCATTGCTGGTCAGCTGCAGCCCTGGGCAGGGTATTTGTCAGGTCTCCAAATGGGCTTTTCTGAATTCCTCCTGCTGATAGAGGGTGTCTGCCCTGCTGCACGTAGGGGGAAATGGACCCCAACTTTAGCAGTGATGCATCAGTGACCTGGTGTTTGCTCTCCCTGCTGCCTGCCCACAAGGCAGAGGATGGCTGGCAGGGAGGAGCAGAAGGTGCCAAGAGGCATGGAGTATTGGGGACAGGGAGAACAGATCACAGGGCTGGCTAGGGCTTGCTAGCATGGCCCTGATGGTGGCAAGTAGTGGCCCAAGTGCCTGAGCTTCCCTTCATCTCATATCAATCTGGATGTTCATGTTTCTTGGCCTGCCAGATAAGGTGGCCTTGCTATTAATCAAGAGGCCTGGAGAATGGGATCAGTGTGAGGCAGGTATGCTGTGGAGCTAATCTCCTTTACTCCCTGATGATGGATGGAGCTCATCTCAGACATTAAATCAAGTCTATGTGCATGCACTGGGCAAAATGGATTAGATGCTACGCTGTTAGCAGAGGCATATTCTGGAGGATGCCCAAGGTTCTGGCTTAAGGCAGCCTCCAACTGGAGCTGCAGCAGGGTGACGTGGTGTGGGTAACAGAGGTTACAGTTGCTAGAGAGCTTGGATGGCTCCCAGCTCTTCTTCACAATCACCTGTTGTGTTCCCTCCCCATGGACAGGGCTGGGGAGCAGATGTCAGCCATAGCTGAACTTTATTTGTTGCAGAACTGCTCTCCCAAACAGCTGGTGGAAGCTCCTGCGATGGTTCCAGGTGCACCCAAGTATCTGCAGTCTCCAGACCTTGTGTCACACAGTGGAGATTCAATTGTCTGTGTGGTGAAGCTCAAATGGGAATGGAGGTGGAGCACCAGCTCTCACACACATGGCAGAAAACACCACTTCTGATCCCCTGTAGACTCCAGGACTAGATGGTCCTGTGTGAGCAGGATCTGCTATTGGATGCCAGCCCTGGTCGTGACTCTTGCAGCATCCCATGTAAAAGGTTCTTTAATTCTGCTGTAAGATCAGTGTAGGATAGAGACAAGTGAGATCTTGCCCAGCTCTCAACAGTGCTACTGGGCTACTTTGGATATCACTGGACACAAGGAATGATGTCTTGGAGGCAGAGCAAAACTCTTGGGGATGAGGTGAGCTTGTCCGTAACAAGCTCTTCATCTACGTCAGACAAATGCTTGGTTCTGGGGTTAGCAGGAGGTATTGGTTAATAAAAATAATACAACGATCTGAAGTCTGCATCTTCTATGGAGAGTCACAGGCCTGACAATGCAGAGGCGAGTGTCTGTTTCTATGGCTGTGCTTAGTGTGGGTGGCATGCTACAGAGAAGAGGATGTGCATTTTTATCTTGGCCATCCCAGAGCACACACTCATCCTAGAGCAACTCAAGATATTCCCAGCAAGAGTCCCAAGTTCTGATCTCTATTGGAGTGATGCCAGGGCCTGCACACTCTTGCTGCATGGCAGCTGTAAGCTGCCATGTTCACTGACATCATAGTTGTGTCTTCTGATTAGAGAGCTGTCTAAGCTCCACAATGGTGGTTGATTACATTTGGAGTAGATATCAGCTGTTTCCAGGGAATAGCGCCCACAGGGACTGCACATGGCTGGCACTGCAGAGTGGGGTTGGTCCTGGAAGAGAATCTGCTCTGTGAAGGTAAATGTACCTGTTCTTCATGTTCAGAATGGCTGAAAATGGGTGGACAGCACCCAGCAGGTTTGGTAATGGAGAGTTTATTTCCTCCTCTGCTTTAAGTGCAAAGCCCAACTGACATCAAAGCAGTAAAGTCTAATTCCATTTTGAATCAGTGCAAGCACATGCAGTGAATGTTAAGCAGAGTCTCAGGCAGGAAAAAAAAAGGGGGGGGGAGAGGGGCGGGAGGTATTATCTTTAATTTCCTGAGAGGGGGAGATAGAAGAGGAAAGGCATGGGAACAGAAAGAGGTGGCAGCTGGCATGGACAGTTTTTGAAGGAGGAGGAAAACAGGAGGACAGGAAGGGGAGAGGAGCAGGAGCAGCACCAGCATGTGCCATGGAAAGGTGACTCCAGTGGCTAGCACATATAAGGGCTGCTCCTGCCTGGGTTCCCACCTAGATGTAGGGAAGGGATTGCTGTGATGGGTGCAGAAAGGTTTGGGCTGTAGCTTCCAGTTCATATATTTGAGACCAGGCTGTAGAGCTGCTTTTTGTGTGATGCGTGCTGGTGTCCAGCAGAGTGACACAAAATGAGAGCTGAGCTTGGTGAAGGAGAAGCAAGGGCTTGTTATCTGTGATTGTGTGTATGAAAAGGATTATTTGCTGTAAGAACTTCCTGAATCCCTTCTAAGTCCTGTTTGCCAAGTAGACGCTGACTCCTAGCTGTGGTTTATGCCACTATCACTACCAGCTCTGCAAAGGGTGATTTCTGCCTCACTTCTACCAAGTGTCTTGGCAGCCATGTCTGTGCTCCTATCTGGGGAAAGCAGCAATGCCTGCAAAGGGTGATATCATGTTGGGCTGCTGCAGCAAACAGAGGACCTTGAGCTGCAGCTGAGCAGGGAGTGGGAGTAGTACAATGCCGCCCAGCTGGTTCATAACATACTTGAATTTTTTCAAGTCTGGGCCCTGCCGGCTCCTCTATGGGTGGGGCTGCTGCTGCTTTCTAAGTTAGATTTTTGCAGATGAGAGGGGGGAGTGGGAACTCTGCATCTTAAGCCTGCACATCTGTGTCCATCTCACCTGAAGCTGCAGATGCTGTTGAGTGTGCCACTTGTGCCAGTGGGACCCCTTCTCTCCCTGGCAGCATCTGCAGTGTTTTGGTTATGGAGAAGGAGGAACGTTAAGGTAAATCTCAGAAAAAGGGGGAGGGGGGAGGAAGGGGAGATGAACAGCTGCTAGTGCTGTGAAAAGAACACACTGAGCTCCAGTCATAATTCAGCTGCTCAAGCCATGGACTGGGGAGAGCTGGCAAAGCATCGTGCAGTGACGTTTTAAGTCAAGCATCCCAACCGCAGGAGCATGATATGTACTCCTCCTGCTCAGTTACTACCTCAGAACGCTGCTTTTACTTGCTGCCTTGAATTAAAAACAAAAACGCTTTCCCAACAGCGTGCAACAAGACGATCATTGTAGCGTGGCCCTCTAGATGGCAATATCGCCCCGAGGAGGAGGGTCCTTGCTGGCCCTAAGAAGCTCGGCTCGGACGAGGGGCTGAGTGCCAATCTGCCCCGCGAGGCCGTGGCTCGGTGCTGCTGGCGCGCGTTCCGCAACGGGTGTGGGGCCGTAGGGCAGGGCCGCGCTCTTAGCCACCCTCCTGGGGCTGCTCTCTGATCCCAGAAGCATCTCTTAAAATACAACTTACTCCTGGGCAGAGAAATAGCGACATGTTATGAAGGACTTCTGTAGGGGCAATTCAGTCAATTCTCTCATCCCCAATCCGTGGACAGGCAGAAATGAGTGTTAGGGCAGGGATCTGTCACCCAGCTGCAGTCCTTGGTAGGTCTCTGTGCTGTGGATCACTGAAGAACTATTTAACCCCTAAGACTTAAATGAAAGCTGTGATACATGATAGGAAATCCAGACTGCTGATGCTAGTTCTCATCTGCTTGTCTGATGCCAGAGTGTGGGGTTTAGATTGCAGTGTTAGATGCACCCATACTTGATTTTGTGTTCAAAGGCTGCGGATATCCAGGAAACGAGTGAACTTCCCTGTGGTACCCCCTGCTCAAAGGGTGTGTATGACTGCAGAGATTAACGCCTAAATGACCCAGCTTTAATGACGTGTGTGTTGCTGAACCTTTGAGTGGGAATACCCTTGGAACACATGGTGTAACTGTGCTACAGAGGAGTGGAGGTGAAGTCCTATCCTGCACAAAGCGGTGATGCGGGAGCTGTTTTATACAAAGCAGGGTCTGGGCTACTCTTTGAAAAGCAGGTTCAGTCTGTGTTCAGGGGACTGCAAAGCATACTTAAGATCCTTAAAAGCACAAAAGGTGCTATGTAAGTTTAGGGGATTATTATAAATGTCAATGTGCTTTACAGCTCTGACGAAACTCAAAGAAGGAGTAAGAAGACCGTTCACTTCTCTGCGCTTCCTAGCAGGGCTACTTAGGGCTTCATGCTTCAACACAGAAGCTGTAAAATGTTGATGTTTATAATTAGGTGTGCATAATGATCTCTTTATTCCTGAATTCACAAGGCTGGGTGTTTCTGGAAGCATCAGCTTCTCCTCACGACGATTCACCCTGTCCTCCCCTAGCAGGACTGCTCAAGGAACCCTCTTTTGGGGTTGCGTTTGGGACTAAGAGATGCCTGCACCTCCCCTTGGGCTGTGGGCTAGGCACTTAGTGAGTAAAATTAAAGCCTCTGTGTGTTTTTAAGCAGATCAGATGCTGGTAAATCCTGTGGTATCATGTAGCAAAAGCTGTCCAGCTTTATTAGCAGTCTCTTGTTTCAAGAGCACAGTGCTTGCGTGGGAGTGCTCGGTTCTGCTCTCTCTTTCTGCTGAGGGCTGGCAGAAAAGAAGGCGATTTGGAAGAGCGAAGAGTGGTTCGGAAAAGCGGGATGAGTTCGGGACTGGGATGAGGGGCTGCGGACTTCCGACTTGAAAGGGTCCAGCAGCCTTCAGAACTACACAGCTGAGCTCCGAGCCGCCCCTTCTCGGCAGCCTAACTAGCAGAGCCGGAGCTGGGAGCGCGGAGCGGGACCCAGGAACCGAGCTCCCGGCCCTTCCCCTGCCCAAATCTGGCGGCGCATCACAGTGAGTGACAGCCAGCCTGGCCCTGCCCAGCCCGCACATCCCGCCGGTTTTTTCCAATCAGACCGGCCCGGGGAGGGATTTCCTGCGGGGACGGGGTCAGCCCGAACAGGACCCGGCTGAGTGCCGTGCGAGCGGAGGAGCGGTTGCTCGGGGCCGCCGGCGTGTTTTTTTTTTTTTGGTTTGACCCGGCCCGGCCCGGCCCGTCCAGTCCAGTCCAGTCCAGGCTGTGCGTCTCGGCGGGCTGCGAGCGCCCCCGGGTGAGTTGCGTCCGCGGAGCTGCCTCGCTCGGGACGCGGAGTGCCCAGAACTCGGGGCGGTTCGCCCGAAGTGGAGCGGAGCTCCCTCGGAGTACCGCCGGATTGCAGCGCTGTGGTGGGAGGCGGAGCGGGACCCTGCGGGGTTTCCCGAGGTAGGTGAGGTTCTCCCCCGCCCCTCCAGACCGAGTTCCTTTGCCGATTCCTCATTAGCATCTTTCCTTCCTTACTTACGTAAATTGTTTGATGGTTGTTTTCCTTCTCTCTTTTTTTTTCCTGCGGCTGTAGGACTGTTTCAGATACTTCAGATCTCCGGATGGATTTGTGGGCTGAAGCTTCGCTTTGCTCCTGTGAGAGGGATGTTTTGCTTTTCCAGCTTTGTGCCTTCCTCGAGTCTTGCCTTTGTTGCTGCTCTTTTCTTGGGAGGCTGAATAGGTGGAGATCGGTATTCGGAGCTCTTGATACTTCAGAGTTGTTTGTTGAGTCTTGTGTGCTCCAGGAGAGGTAGGCAGCAGTGTGAGGCAGTTTTCTAGGTGAAGCTGCACAGATAATGAATGTGTAAATATCCTCAACGGTCCTGTATTTGTATCTTGTGCTTGCAGAGGGGTGTGGAGTTGGATGCAGATCTCTGAGTGAAATAAAATAAGTAGTTTTGAAGACAGAGGGTTGCAGGAGGCCTTGGAAGGCAATTTGTTTGTGTCAAGGTGTTATGACTCCAGTAGCTGAAACTTTGTTGTACAGTAGGTAAGCTGGTGCGGGTGCTCTGTGGTACGGAGACGTGCTATCTGATTTGTGTGTGCATGGGCTTTGGCATCAGGCACTTAACTCCCAGGCAGCCTTGTACTGAGGGGTCATCAGTCAGCAAACCTAGAGACTCGGGGAATGACAGCAGAGGGGTAAATCCTCAGTCTGGTATGGGAACATGGGCATTGTCTTGTCCCAGGAGCTACACCTACATGGGAGCATTGTCTCTGCAGCTGTGTGTAAGGAAGGGCTGGAGCAAGGGGAGCCTGGTGCTGGGAATCTGTGCTTGCAGGCAGCTGCAGCTCCCAGTATTGCAAGTGGGTGGGGTGAGCAACACTATACTTGATGTGGGGTCCCATGAGGGACTGGGACGCCCCTTCTGCTTTTGCCCATGAACCAGGCAGACTTCTCCCACTGTTGCTCTTTCTCCTGTGTGTTCTGCCCTCAAAATGGTGACCTCGATTGCTCAGAAGTAGAAGCACCCATCGTTATTTAAATGGCTGGGGGTGAGTGCTTTGGAAAGGGAGACAACAGACTTGGGCAGCGGCTGGGGGATACTGAAACTGGTTCTCATCCAACCTGGGTTGGAGTGGTGGGGCGATGTGTGACAGACCAGCAGCGGGAACAATGCATGCTGCCTGCCCTCCTGATTTCATGCTTGTCCCTGGGGCTTCAGAGCAGCCTGCTGGATACATGGTCTAGAACCAGCATAGAGTTTCTCACTGCCCTGTTTGGACAACCCAGGTACAGGGCAGAGTGTTGGCTGGGAGATGTGAATGGCTGGAGAAGCCTGGGCCCTTTCCAGGGTGCCCTGTACAGCTAGGATGGGGGTTTCATCATGTTCCCTGAAGCAAGGTTGTGCTATGGTTTGCACTCAGCGCTCACTTGGGCCCAGTAGCGTTCATGTATTGGATACAGAGTGTCTTGAATCCCAGAGCACTGAGCTTTCATGGTAGCTTGAAAGGCCAGGGTTTGTCCCTGTACCAGATGGGAAAGGTACCAGGCAGGTTCAGCCAGTCTCAGGGCCCCTGGAAGACTTTGGCAAAACCACCTCAGCTCCATCACTTGGATGCTACCAGTGGCAGAGGGGAGAGGGAGAAGTTGCAGTGACCTGGACCCCATTTGTGGTCAGTGTAGAGTGCACAGCATGCACAGCCCCATGGGCTGTGAGAACAGGGAAGGAGCAGTGGCAGCACCGCTCATCCATCCACAGCTCCCCTACAGAAGGCTTCCTCCACAGGTCCTTCCCTCTTTTTATCACAAGGATGAGCCAAGTCCCACCAGGACTAAATATAGTCAAAGTATTTGTTCTTCGACATGGATACAAAAGCTATCATGATGGTGCCAGCCAGGAGGTAAATGTTCTTTGAAGGCTGACTCTTCTCTTCCCTTCCTCAGGTCCTGGGCTGCTGTGCCAGCCTGAAACAGGGCTCATCTGTGTGCGGGGTTCCCCATTGTGGCTGCAGCACAGTTTCCAAGAGGAATGCTGAAACAAAAGCGCTAATGAGCACCAGAGAGGAAGGATCTATAACTTCCAGATGGCAACAAGCCTGTAATCCCTTTGGGAAGGATTAGGGACTCATCAGCGTGGCAGAGCCTGGCAAGGATAGCCAAGCAAGGCACCTCTGGCTGCAGAGTCCAGTGCAGGTTTGGCAATATCCTGACGCTGGCCCCGCTGGCTGTCCTGCCCTGAGCTGCCTCGTTTGGTCTTGTAGCATTCTGTGGCGGCCAGTAACTGGTCCTGCAGCACTGAACTCTCCTCATTTTGACTGATGGCATGTTCTTCAGCCTAACCCCATCTGGGTCCTGCTGCTCCCAATGAAGAAAGGGACTTCCGCTGCTGAAAGGGAGACTTCATCCTTTTTTTTATGTCCCGTGGGATTTTAAGGCATTCTTGCTGGATTTCACCTCCTATTCAGGCATATTTTGAGGATTTACAAACTTATTTCGATGGCTTTATAAACTAGTGGGATCTGAAGGCTTCTTCCTTCTGTGCCGCTCCTCCCACCTGTCTGCAATGGGGCGAGAGCAGGAACTGATCCAGGCTGTGAAGAATGGGGACATACCTGGTGTGCAGAAGCTGGTGGCCAAGATCAAAGCATCCAAGACCAGTGAGTATCTGGGTGCAGGGCTGCTGGGATCCTTCCTTCCTCTGGGCATCACTGCATGTCCCAAGCCACAAGCTGTGTCCACAGGTTCTGTGCAGGGCTCATTCTGAACATCTGAGCTGGGGTGGTAGTGCAGACTTTGAACCCCCATGGGAGAGTTATGCTGTGGTTAGAGGCGTGAATGCAGCCTGTGTTGATGAATGACTGAGCTGTAAACGATCCTCCCAGCAGAGCTCGGGTTCCCTTTGGGCTCAGGGCCAGGGGCCCTGAAGTGTGGGCACTGAGCAGGGAAGGGCAAAGGGAAACAAATAGCAGGGGAGACCATGAAGCTGCTTGGGGGGATGTGGTACAAAAGGTCTTTAGCAATTGCCACTTACTTTGTATTTATCTTGTGAAAAATTATCATCCAAGCCAGTCGACTGGAACCAATTGTAAAACCTTGAATTTCAGTCTGGTAATGTTTAACCCTTAAGCAGTCCTGATTTCTTTCATGTATGCTTGGAAAGGCCAGCTGCAAGCAGGCTCAAAGCAAATGGCAAGCTTGACCAATATTAGGTGTTTGATGGGCCAATGGCCCACCTCCCATCGGTGTTGTGAAGGTCATGGGGGCCCTGGTGTCTTGAAAGTACCTGACAACTCACACTGGAAACAGAGGGTGTAAAAGGTGGAAGAGCAGACCTAGTGCTACAGAACTTGCAGAAGGCTGAGCTTCATGAGCAGGTACTCCGGTCACTGCTTGCAAGTTGCAGAGAGAAGCAAACTGGAAAAAGTAAACAAAAGGGTGCTTGTCTGCGGGGTGTGAGCAGGGGGAGCTGCACAGCTCCTGTGTGGGATGTGGGAGCCACTCTGCACAAGGATTGGCCAGAGAATCCCCTGTCCCATGCTTACAGCCTGCAGGGATGACTGACTGGGAAGTTAGAATGGGCAAAACAGATCTAGAATTAGCTCCCTACAGCAAAGTGTTCATATAATCTCCCAAAGAGCCCGTCTGGCTATGGCTGTCATCCAGGCTGTGCCTTGTGGGAGGGTCTCAGGGGTCTCTGCAGGAAAACTTGAGGGAAAAACTGGAGGGAGTGGGGAGAAGCAGCCAGGAGTAAAAGCTCTCATTCTTAATCGGTGCAGCTCAGAGCAGAGAGGCTGGTGCTGAGAAACATGAATTAGGCTGAGGATTTTAGATGTGAGATGGGGATAAAATCCCCAGGATTGGCTCCTAGAAGGCTTTGGCTAGTGCCAAAGCTTTATAAATCTATGTGGGCTGCTGTTTCCCACTGGAGCCAGCCCTGAGCCTGCTTTTATCACAGAGGAGGCTGGGTGCCCCTTTGGGTGACAGGATCAGGTGCCTTTGCCTCTGCTCAGTGCTCAGGATCTGTACCTATTTGGGGCTGCAGCCTGTGTAGGGCAGATCTTAGGGCTGGAGCAAGATGGACTTGCTCGTGCAGAAGGCCTGAAAGCCGCTCCAAGGCAGTAAATAATGTCAGCAGATGCAACCTGGGTCCCCAAGCTGGTGTCCTGTGGCCAGGCAGCATAATGTGGGCAGGCATGGGGCCCCCACAGCTTTCCTTGCCTGTGTGCCAGGGGTGGACCTCCAATACCTCTCTCCCTGTTAAAGCCTGTCTGTGTTTTCTCTGACGTCTTCCCTCCCTCCAGCCATGGGACACCCACGTGAATTGAGTGCATTGAAATCCCCCATTGAAGCAGTGTCAGCAGGTCCTTCGCTATGCTTATGTTCATGTTACTCCTTTATAAGGTGGGGGAGCAAAAAGCCCAGGCCATGGCAAGGCACTGTCTGCAAGCCCTGAGCCACTGCATGGGGGGCAGCCGCTGCCAATCCCTTATGCTTCCCTCTGCCTCCTTCTGCCCATGCCATGTGAGTGGAGCGTTTGTTGCTCGTTAAAGTGCCTTTTCCATATGACAGACCGAGATGCTGATTTTTTTTTTTTTTTAAATCCCTCTAAGAGTCCTTCTGCTGTCTTAATGGATTCAGAGTGCCGTCACTGTGATTAGCCCTCCGGGACTTCCTGTGCCTAAAAAAGTCACCGCACATAAGCAAGAATCAAGTGCCAGTCCCGGCAGCGGGAACTTCAGGGACACATTGTTTAATATTCACCGTGTGCAGCCCTCATCCCCAAGCAAGCGCCGCTGTGCAAGTGGGTCACAGCACCTATTATTGTAAGGCTGCTGGGGGTGTGGAGGAGGGAGGGGCAGAGAGAAAGTTTGGGTTGGGAGGATTAGAGTCAGCATGGGCAGATATCCTGCCTGCAGGAAGGGGCCATGGGGATGATGCCATAGTCACTCATAGCTGGAAGGAGAGAGTCTGCTCCCACTGCCCTGGCTGTGCTTTGTTGAATTTCCCCTGAGCAGCAGTAGAAACATCCCTCTTTTTAATTTCTTTCTCCCCTCCCCTCCCCGTCTCAGCACTGCAGAGTTTAATTGAAATTGTTAAATGACCCGTCACGGCTTTGGCCTTTCTCCCTGGCGATCAATCACATTCCTGCCTGGCTGTGCTCACTAACAATGCAACAGAACCAGGGAGGCTGTGCAGGGTGGTAGAAGTCCCTAGGAAGGGGCAAAGGGGACCTGCAGACCCCATCCCAGCTCATTGCAGCCATGGCGGGGTGAAGGCAGTGGGGACAGCTGCTGGTGGGGTGGTGGGGAGACTTGTCCGAGGAGTGAGCCTTAATGCCTTGGAGGTAGCCTAGGACTGGAGGTGCTGTGGAAGAGAACAGGAGCTGGACTCACTGTTTGCCTTTCTTAAGGGAGTGGTGAAGCTTTTTGTTTAAATGTGCATGAAGTGCAAAGAAAGTGCAACAGCTGAGCAAACTCGTGCTAAACTCAAGGATAGAGGGCCTTCTTGCTGGGCTTTCACCCAGTGCTGTGGAAGGGCTGGTTGTCCTCAGCCTGCTGCTGACCCCTTTTCAGCAGTGGCACTGAGGCTTTTGAAACTCCCAGACCTCAGATATATCAAGAGCAGGGCATGGGTGCCTGGGATTTGGATCCATCTGGGCTGTGACCTAACAAGCTGTTAAATGCAAGTAAAGCTCCTAATGGGAAGCCTTGGCTTTATCCCCTAGTGTAGCTTGGTGCTTCTTACTGATGGCAGCATGGGACACAGCGGTTTTTTTTGTTGTTTTTTTTTCCTAGTTCCAGTCCTTGGATGCTGCTGTCACTTATCTGGCTGAGGAGAGGGGTGATGCTGAATGGGCTCTGCTGGCTGCAAGTCTGCAACAGGCAGATGTGGGATAATTTGCTCCCTCCCCCTTAAATTTCCTGCTAATCTCTAGTAGCTGTATCAGCTTAAGCTCCAAAGCGTGAGGGTTAATATTTCTCCTGCTATTTGTTAGCCTTTGCTACTGATGCTTGGTGTTCCCATTCTCACCAAAACACCTGCCCTCCCTCTGAGTCCAGCAGGACTTTCTCCTTGTCTCAATGGCAGCAGTTCCCATGGTTGTGTGCAGGGGAAAAAGTCACTGCTTTTGCCAATCCAGGAGTTACTTTGTGGTGATGTGGATATGCCTTTGCACCAGCTGATGAGCCCAGCTCACTATCCCCATCATGGTGTCCTGCAGGGAGGACTGTCCTGTTTGTGGCTGCTCTGGGAGGAGCTTTGGTAGCCCATCTGTGGGGAAGAGCAGGAGCCTGCCTTGGGCAGCATCGTTATCATTTCAGACTCTGTCATATCCAACTGGTGATGGCAAAAGGACAGTTGGGCAACTTTCCTGTTGTGATTCTGTACTGAACATCACAGCTTGCTGGATCCAGCTCAGCCATCAAGCCAGCATGCAGCCCTCATTGTGTTTCTCAAAGCCTAGGTTTCCAGGATAAGTTCCTAAGCATCCTTGGCATGGTCCTTTCTTCCTATTCATGTGTGCTGTAGATCTGACAGGCTGGACCAGTTGGATGCAGGCTTGGAAAGCTTGCAGTGTGCTCCAGGGCCACTGTGAATGATGCCATAGAGCTCTGCTGAACCAGGAAAAGCTCTTCATCCCATTGAGAGCCAGCCCAGAGTGAGGAGAGGCGCTGTGCCCTGGAGAGCCTGGCTGGCAGTGGCCCTGCACTGGGAAGCTCACTGCCTGCAGCCTGCTGAAACGTGCTTCCAGCCAGCCCACAGTGGGTGGAAGGAAGAGAAGGAGGCTTCAAAGGCTCCTGCAAGCATGGCTGCCTTCCTGCTTCGGGGATTGTGGCGAGACTGCAGTGTACAGCACAGGAGGGCTCCTTTCCCCATCCCACTGCCTCTGGTCTCTCTTGGGGGGTCTCCTCCAGCAGTCATGTGCCAGCCTGCTCTGTGCTCTGTGTTTTTTTGTTTTTTTTCCTCATCTTCTTTTCCCTCACTATCACATACCTTGTCTGTCCCAGCTTAGTTGTGGGTTTTAGCACTTTCTATTTCTTTTCTCTCATGGGGAAGAAAGAGCACTACATGGGCAGCAGCAGCAAAAGTAGTGAGCATGCGATCACTTTTCAAAGCCAGCCTCTCACAGTTGTTGTCTTTGGAAAGGGTCCACTGCTGGCCCTGCATGGGGCCCAGAGTCCAGGAAAGCATCTCTGTGCCAAGCACAGGAGATAAACCATCAGCAAACGGTAGTGCAGAGGTGGATGGCAGACAGAAGATTCAGCATCCAGCCTGGTGGACATAGCCCCATCATTCTGTCTCTCTTTGCAGCCCATATTCACAGGTCCATATCACCCTCATTCTGGGTCTGTTTTTTTGTCCTCATCCTTTGAAAGTGCTTTTGCAGTCTTCAGTGCCTTGCTGCAGCCTGTGCCACTTATTGCTGTTTTTCTTCTTTCATGAGTGAAATAGTAGAAAGAAGAAAAAAGGTATTAAGTGTGGAGAATATCCATAAGGATATCTTAAGGGATGTGCAGGGAGCTGCTCTGGGGCATTGCTTGCCTCCAGCTTTGTGCAGCCTGAGGACTGGCCCATCTCTTATGGGAATCGGAAGCAGGTTCAGAGCAATCCCAGGCACAGCATGCAGGAAGCTGAGGTTCAGAGCAGGAGAGGGATT